TTTTGTTTAGATTTTGTTTTAATCACTTTATCCTAAGGAAGGTGATAATGACACTAAAATACAAGGGGTTACTGGGAGTGAAAGAGACTGATAAGACTTTAGAAGGAACAGGAAACCCAATCCTAAACAGGAAACATGAGATAAAACTCTTGTTTAATAGATGAGGAAGGTGTGTGTTTATGAGAGAGAAGCACTGGATTTCCAAATTATATAAGTTATTAGATAAAAAATACACAAGCTCAAGGTAGACACAGACTGTGGAGTGTAGAAGAACAGAACCTGTAAAAAGAAAATGATTTATTATCAACCAATTTGAAGGGGCAATTGTAATTATCATGCAATGTCCTAATTTGTTAATTAAAAGGTATTTATGAGGTTGACTTGTATTTTTGAGCTAAAATTATGGTAATGTTATCTAAAAGACATGTATCACCATGTTAGATGTTTGGGCTGGGGCATATTTTCAGTGATTGTCATAAAAAATGGTCACAGCTAATTGTATATTTTTGGCAAAATTGTACCTGCCTTAAACATTGGAGAATCAAAGAGAATTCAGCAGTTTTAGTTCTTTCTCTGTAGAAATGGATTGATTGATTCATTTGTTTTTTTGTATGGCTTACCAGCCTCTTGTGGGTTATTTAAAGCCAAAACATATTTTGAATTGTAAGAATAATTCTTTTTTTTTTTGCAAGCAAATATTGCATTAACAATTTTTTGAGAATAACAATGTTTTTTCCAGATACAAGTCCTACTAGTTAACCTATAGGTGGGGGCAGGAGATGGACTTATATCCTTGCTGTATGTAGGTGAACAAAGTAACAAACCTGACTGAAATTTGAACTCAGATCTCTAATTTTTTATTCCAAGCCACTATCCATTACACCACCCACACATCTACCCTGTAGAAATGGAATATCTATTTTAAACATATGAACCTGAAATGAGGTATCTGTTTTAAACATATGAACTTGAAATGGGGTATCTGTTTTAAACATATGAACTTGAAATGGGGTATCTGTTTTAAACATATGAATCAGAAATGGGGTATCTGTTTACTACAGAATAACAATAGAAAACTGATCTTCTTATTGGTCTTTAAATTTGTTTTTCATTTGTTTTTTGTTGTTGTTGTTTTTGCAAAATAATGACTCACTTTAACATTTTCTTTATTTAACAGGGTGGGTATGTGTTCAAACTGCCTAGACTAAGGGTATTGGGGTACCCCATGACTGACAACACATTCCAAGCTGTAAATTTTTTCTGCTTTGGAGGACCTGTATTGCTAGCTATTCACAGGTTACCATGAAACAGCCTTTTGAAATATGAAGTTACATGTGACAAGTATGATGCAACACTGAATTGTACTTGATATGCATCATTTCCCAACAGATATATGTTTAAATGTCAAAACAAATTTGCTGATAATACCTTTAAAAAAAAAAACATTATGTATTTATATGAGTCAGCAATACATTTTTTTATCTTCCTTGATAAAATAAAGCATTTCTTCCTCTTATACTGCTATATGAGATAGAATGAATCACTGTTAAAACTTAGGAGTGGAGAATGTTCAAATGGCCAATCTAGTAGGGAGGATATTAAAGTGACATCTAAAAATTTATCACAGACATTACAAATTTAATCAACTTGTCATATTACTATAGTTTCAGAGAAACTAAAGTTATTGACTTAACAGATGAAGTAGTTCCCTTTAACTTATGATGTCATCAAAGAATACATTTCTAATATTGTAAGTAAACAATGCAGCATTTGAAGATCCTGGACATTGACAGGAGAGATACTGCAATATTAGTTCATTTCAAAAGTATATTTGTCATAAGCTTTTTTATTCATATGCAAAACCCATATGATCTTCATCAAATGTGTATATTTTCATATTAAAGTGTACATTATATATATATATATAAATGTCTACCAAATAATTTCAATAAAAGAAAGATGAAGACACTCGTAAAGGATCTTGTTTACAACATTTAATGATTAAGAAAATTTTGTCAACATTTCAACTTTTATTTATTTGAATATAAATAATACATTCAGCTTTCTTTTATTTTTCTATTTTTAATTTACTTTATTAATTTTTGTATTTTGTTTAAAAAAACAAAATAAAAAAATGATATCAAACTTGCCTTCCACTCCCAAATATTTCATAGAATAACACCTTCTCTCCTCCATATGTTCTCAAGAACAAACATCCCCCAATTTATTTTGAGATTATCTGAATGAATATTGTTGATGTTTATCTTACTTCCATCTTGGAGAAAAGGAGGAACTTGACATAGTTGGACTTTGGAAGAAAAGATGGGTAACACATATTGAATGGATTCCCATTATGGACTTGGAAAGATATGGTTTAATTTGACAGAATTTGTTTTATAGATTTGAAGAGATTTGTCTAAAGCCAATGTTTAAGTGGAGGATTGTGGGAGTGGGGGTGGATGAGGTGGGTGTGTTCCAATAATGCCTCTTTTATTTTTAAACATGAAAAGTGGAATGTAAAACGAGGCAAAAAAAAAGAGTGGGAACCAAAGACTAAATCTCATCGATCTCGCAACACTTTTTTTAAAAGTCACCTGCCCACATGAAACAAGTTTCTTTCCATCAATGTCAAAGCTAGTAAAACATAGATAGACAGATGGAAATAAGACAGGTGACCGAGAATTGTCAGAGTGGAGCTATGTGAGCAAGTGGGGCATATGTTATGAAAGCATGTCAATATGTGTGTGTTAGGAGGCAAATGTACAGATGTATGTGAGGGTGTATGTGTATACATGTATTACAGAGTTTGTGTGTGGCTGTGAGTATTTGTGCAGATGTGTGTGTTAAGGTGCATATGTGCCTAAGGGTGTACATGAGAGAGAGAGAGAGAGAGAGAGAGAATGTGTGTGTGTGTGTGTGTGTGTGTGTGTGTGTGTGTGTGTGTGTGTGTGTGTGTGTGTGTGTGTGTGTGTTGAGAAGGAATGACTCTGTTTTAACTGCTAATTATCTCTGCTATGAAATCTAGTGAATAATTATGAACATATATCCAAGTTATTTTTATAACACAAATATTTCTTTAGTAAATCTTTAACAACACATTTCTGTAGTTAAGATTTTGAAATGCATTTTCTATGGTGAACCATTTTGAATGTATTTCTTAAGTAAATCATTTGTAATGAAGTTTTGTAGTAAAAAAATCTACAATGTATTATCATTAACACATTCTTAGCAAAGTGTTTCTTATGGAAATGATAACCATTATAATATATTTGTAAGATAAATCAATTGTCCAGACATTATGTTGTAGATAAATTTTAATAACCTTCTTCTGTATATAGTTATTAAACTTTATCTTGTAAAAAGTCACAAGTATAACACAGAATCAAATCACTACAGTAGTAACAGTCTGCAAGATTAGCTTACTAATTTGCTACAGTAATAAAAGTCTGCAAGATTAGCTTTACTAAATCACTATGCCTGCATGATTAGCTTACTAATTCACTACAGTAGTATCAGTTTTGTTTACTATTACTCTTGTACCACCCTTGAAATAGTTTTCACATTTCAAGGAATCCTCACATAAATATTATTATATACCATTATTAATATCTATCTCTTTCATATTTTTTATTATAACCAAGGATTTCCCAACAATATGCCATACGTAGATAATAAAATTATGAATATAAATTTAAACAAAAATTACTCAAAAATGCATTAGCCTATTCATTACCATTTCTCGTGGAACTCCTGGAAACCTCTTGCAGAATCCTAGGGCTCCAAGGAACAGCAATTCAGAAATACTGCTCTAGACTGATGCAACATGCTTTATATTCTATAGGATTTCTATGTTATTGAAGCTCATTTATGAAGACTTTCTATCAAGGTTTTATTTGCAATGGATTTCTTAGTTACATAACTGCAATGTATTTTAGAATGAATCACTTGCAATGCATTTCCATAGAAACATCTAAGAATGTTGCAGAAGAAAGGAAAAGTTTTTTCACAATATGACAACATTATGGATTAAACCTTTGAACAAAATTTTGTCTTATTTTTACAAAGAGTTATTTTCATTATTTAACAAGTCTTGGTAACTTGTATTTTTTAGTATTAATCAGGTATTGTTAGTTCTATTTCCACTGAGCATGTCTGTATTCCCTGGCTCAGGGATTGAACTGATAAGTACCATACCACCAAATTCGCCAACCAACATTTTAATCCCCTTTTTAGCTCTGGGACCCATTTTCAGAATGAAAATTTGTCCGCGCATCACCAAATTTTATGTGATTAATAAAAGTACATTAAAAAACAAAGGGAGATTATCATTGATAACTCTCTCTGTCAATTTGCAGACCTGAGATACTATATTCTTAATACTTGATATCATGCAAAAATATTACAATGATAAAATCGGTCAATAATGATTTATAACTATTTATACTTGGATTCATACATGCAATTACAAGTAATCCATAAGAATATTTTAAATTTTGAAATCATTTATTTTTGGCATATGAATTTTTTTAAACTGTTTCTAAATCTTTGATTGTCTTCTAATCATTCTACCTCACCTGCTATCCTCTTTTGCTGCACCTATAAGGCACACCACACCATATGGGAACAACTGTCCTAGGCTCTTGTTCTGTAAGCTAAATAAAGAGCAGAACAACCAAAACATTGTGATAGTAACAACAAAGATGAGGATGTTAGTCCAGCTGTAAATAACATAAATTATGATAACACCTTATTGTAGAATTCAGACTATCTAATTTCTCTCTCTTTATTTTTCTTTTTACTGTTACCAAAATATTTCAGATTATCCATTCTTCAGCCATCACCAGGTGTATAAGGTATATAAAATGAAAAGCTTTATTTTTCTGGCTGTATTAACAATATACCTGAAGGAGGCCAAAGAATGAATCAGCCATAATATTATGGTAACAATAAAAAGAACAAACAATTGCCCGTCTTAAAATTATAGAACATATCTGTCTTACTTTGTTCAGATTATCTTCCAGTTTCTGCTTTGTATCCTTGGTATCAGCAATTCTCTGTTCAAAAGCTAAATTAACCACATTACACTGCTTCTTCATGTCACTAGATATTTGCTGCAGGATTCCATCAATCATGGAACGCAGATTCACAGATATTTCCCGTTCTCGCTCAGCATTTCTTATTATTTCATTTGAAAATTCTTGCCATTCATTAAGAGACACAGACCTGAAGAAAAAGAAAAAAAATCTTTTCATAATCTTTCACATTGTATATTACCTGAGGTCACCAGTTTGTGCAGAGACATATTCTAATTCTACAAGAGGATTCTTCAGACTAATCCTATCACTAATTCTTATTCAAGAAAACTTTGTCACTAGTGAATATTTCAAATACAGCATACTTGTATCATTTTGATTGTTTACAGCATCTACCTATGATACATGTGGATCTTTTTTTTCTCTTTTATAACTAAATATATATATATATATATATATATATATATATATGAAAACTTGAGTAGAGACTTGAGCTAATGCTGTGAAGCATTTTTTGATCTGTCTGGATAACCTGGGCATTGAGCACTGTTATTTACTGCTTAAGTAGGTGTTTGACTTTTGTCTTTTCTTCTTTCTTTATGTTTTTTCTTGTGTAAGCTTTTTTGTTATTAGTATTCCCCCCCCCACGTTTTCTTGTTGTTGTTTGAGGTCTTTTGGTAGGTTGTCTGTCAGTCACATCAACATTTTTGATTTTTATATATTTCGATCCCAGCTTGAGGCAGTCAGATGTCTAGCCACACTGATGAGCTATGAAACAGCTAAACAGTCTGTCTGTGAATGACAATATATACATGCTCCTGAAAAAAATTATTTCAGTTGAGCTCTTGGGGAGAAAAGTGAATTTGTAAACAGTGACTATTATTGCTGCTGATGTAAGACTCTTTGTTAAAATGAATCAAGTTCTCCCAGTCACTGGCATCTTTATCTAAAAATAAATACATCTAAATTCACCTTCATCCCTGTTGTGCACCAATGGCTTAGGAGTAGTGTCTCCGATTGATACAAAATCAGTTGGGTTTCAATCCCAGCTTGAGGTAATTGGATGTCTAGTCACAATGATGAGCTGTGAGACAGTGAAACAGTCTGTCTGTGGATGCCAATATATATATATATATATATATATATATATATATATATTATTATTATTCCAAATGTTATTATAGTGAATACTTCTACTTGAAATAGATGCCCCATTTTTATTTTTATTTTAATCAGTATGTATTATGTCTATTGGTCCATGTCCATGTATTCAAGAAATCCTAATAAAGAAAATGTGCTCTCTGACAGGGATTGAACCTTTGTAGAAGAAACCAATGTTTGATCTGATGTGTTTTACTACTCAGCCACAGAGAGCATCACAGTTCTGCAAGGACCTATTTCCCCCTTTAAGGAAAACACACAATTCAGATATTTTTTTTCAAAAACCTATATCTGCCCAGTTTTGTATTTTAAATGTAAACAAAGCAATTTCTAAAGATTTTATTTTGAATCTGACAATCAGTCTGTACGTATATATCTACTTAAATCTGCTCATACTTATCTCATTTTGTTAATGACTTTCTACCTATCAGGTTTCAAGATTAGTATTGCCTAGTTGTCTCAGGGATGATAGAGCATTAGTTTGGAGCAACTGATTAGATTTTTTGCAACAATGTCGAGATGATAAAAAAATAAATTAAAATTAAAGCAGATAATAGTTAATGGAAAAAAATTTTGAAAGAGATTTAAAAAAAACTAATTTGATTATGAACTTGTTGATATGTGCTAATGTTCTTTATACAGAAAATGAATGGAGCACAATTCATAAATTAAAGTTTGATAAAAGCTAACCTGTGCATGAAAATTAATTAATAAGACTATTTCTGTGTGAAATTATTCAAGATAAAATTAACTGAAATGTTTAAATAAAAATAAAATACTGATTTTTATAAAAAAATTACAATTATCTTTTCTTTATCTATCTATCTATATATATCTCAGTCTTTTCATTATCTATCTTTTATGTATCTATCTATTTATATAGTTACAATGTATAGATTATTTACATTTTAAACCTTATTTCCAAAAATAAAGCATGAAAGAGAAAATCATAATTATTAGAGTAATTTATTGAAGCTGAATATACTGTAACATTTTTTAGAATATTTTTATATCATTGGAAAGAGGAATTTCTGATAAAGGAGGAAGTTGTTTGCAAAGACTTGCATGAAAGTTGACCAGTTCCACAAGTGATCATGTTGGTTTTAACATGTTTGGAGAGACATTTTGAAAAAATCTGTTCACATCTTCATTGCAATCAATCACTTAATGAATGTCAAACATCTAATAGGAAAGAAGAAGAAAATTATTCACTGGTTTCTGCATAAAATGGCCTTTACTATCCCAAATCATAAATCACACATAATGTGTTTGGTTGTGCATTTGTTGTGAATATTCATTGACATTTAAGCCATATACTAAAAATTCAGGTCAACATATGACAAACACAATTCACATTCTGATGTAGACTCAGCTAAAATAAACAAGTATTTGCAATCTCCAATGGGATTTACATGTAAATTTACTTGTAACTTTTTGTTTCAGCTTTTATGAATTTGGGTCATAAATAATATGAAAGGCTCTAATCTATAAGTAAATAGCAAGATATCTGTCTTTCTATTTATCACAGTTCATTCATGCCAACTTAGTTCAGCTGTCATCCTAGGTATGACAATAAGCTACATCTGGCAGCAAGGCCTTTGATATGGTTGTTTTGAGGAACCTGGAACCACCTCATAATTGCTGTTGTTTCCAGGTCCACCCTGCCCCAGGGTGGTAGCACCTGCTAGAGTCCCAGCTATGGGAAAATGTGAACACCCAAACTGGGGTCAAAACACCATGAAAGTATAAGAATAAATTTTTATAGTAAAAATACCAGCAATACATTTTTAGAAAAAAAATTTTTTTTACTAGCAATACATTTTTGGAAAAAAAATATTACCAGCAATATATTTGACTCTTGACAAAAACTCTCTTTTTCAAAAATACATCAATGAAATCTGGTCTACAAACTGATTTCTTACAAAGAATACATTCTATTCATACAAACCTATCCTAAAAATCTTGTTGTCATTAAATGACCCATTGAGGTTGATATGCTGTAAAACAAAATAAACCAAACCAAACTAAACCAGTTCAGCTAGGATGTTCGGGTTGCCTAACAGTTTCATTTTTTTAGAATATGAATACAAGGCCCAACAGCCACTCAAAGTAGAGGGTTACTGAATGAGGTTTTTGTAAGGAAGGAGTAAGAGGTTCATATTATGGGGATATCTAGGATGGTTAACAGCTGACCCTAGATTTGAAGAAGTTAAGATTGTAATGAGCAGAGGAGCATCCAAAAGAGTGTAACAATTCTTGGTAAAAAGCAGTTTGAGTGAAACTTGCTCCTTACCAGTGGAATACAAAAAAAATGAATGATGTATCAACACTGTATATGTTACATTGGGGTCCTAGCTGTGAAGGCCTGAACTGGTGGAACTAATGAATGTAGATCATTTTGAACATCTGTCATGAAAACAGCAATAGAGTAGTGAGAGGCTGGCAATGTTTTGTCTGAGGGTGGAAAATACTTCATCACCCACAAGGCTGTATAAACATTTTTGAACTCTGTCAGGGCTGGAAGTTGAGGATTGGACAACTCCAGCCCAGATATGGCAGCAATACTCTGTTTTGGTCTGATTTGGCTTTTGTTAAATGTTAATAACATAATATCAAAACTGGAATTAGCAAATAAAATTCAAATTTTGGCCCAGGTTCTTTGAGTTCACTTGAGAAAGGTCATCTTTCCTGAGAAGTCAAAACAGGGATTATCTTTTGTGGCCATGACTCCCTCTATGGATAAATAGTAAGGCAGCTGGGGTCCTTCAACCAGCTAAGGAAAGGTTAGTCATATAGAAACACCCACAGTTTAGCAGTGGATTTTGCTCTTTTAGCTTGCTGAGCTACCAAGGAAGGGTACCAAGCCTAAATAATCAGTGTGTTATTTGCATGAGGAGCTTATGGTAAATAGACAAACCATCCTCCCCTGATAATCTATCTATCTATCTATCTATCTATCTATCTGTTTCTCTCTAAGATTATTAATATATACCTGTAGTGACTTAGGCAACATAAACTTACCCTATTTGTATAGAGTCAAGCGACTTCTAATAAGTCAATTGTCACTTGGTACAAGGGTAGAACTTCTACAAAATAGACTAGAAAATTTCACAACAGTACCTATTTCAAAATGTTAATATTTATCTGAGTCTATCTATAGGGCTACTTAGTGGTAGATTTTCCTCTAGTACAAATACCCAAGGATAAAATACTTTCAAAGCTAATTTCTTCAACCAGCAAATGCTCCCCAACTATAAGAGCTGGCAATACACAGACCTATGAATTGTCAACACATTAGGTATGCATAAAGTTTTAATATACATATATCATATCCAGCTACCCATATACATACTTTTTTCACATGGACTCATATACTGAATATATAATTTAACATATTTAGATAAGCTTGGAAAATTACCTGAAAAGACAGTGGTAGTGGTAGTGGTAGTGATGACTTAATGTGTTCAATAAAAGATGCTTTATTAATTCTATAGTTAATTACTTACTTGGGGTCTATCTTGGCTGCCTCATCATTGAAATGAAGATTTGAGTAATGATCCTTCAATTTCTGGCAATATTTGTCAATATCAATGCCAGCACATTTGTCCTCAAGATCTTTCTCCAGTTTATACTTGACTTTTCTATTACACCTGCAATAAACAAACATCGAGCCTCAGTGATGAAAATTAAAGGTAATATATATTGATCATTTCACTCCAAGCAAGTCAACAATGCCACTAAGATGCAAGGAGTTACTCGGAGTGAAAGAGAATGTGAAGACTTTAGTGAGGAGAAAGGATAATAAAAGAACAGTATTCAGGGAGACAGAAAATGGTGATTGATGTTGCATTTAAATTTTTGAAGATTGTAGGTGACAGGGAAGCAAGAAATTGGAAGAGAGTTCCACAGGTGAGAAGTTTAAGAAAAGAAACTATTAAATAGAAATTATGCTTACATCTAGCTATTTCAACAGTAAAATGATAAGACCCATTTGCTGATCCACTAGTATGAATAAATTTATATGGTTGAAGTACCAAGTAGGAGACCTCATTAGAACAATTGCCATGAAAATATTTATAGAAAAGACAAAGGAAAGCCAAGTCATGGTGGAAGGAAAGTAACTGAAGTCAAGATGCTGGGTCAGGACTGATAATATTACAGACTATTCTTTGGATTTTGTCAAGAATTTTGAGATATATAGCTGGGGTGCCAGACCAGATATGGTAACAATATTCAAGGCATGGATGAATAGTAGATTTATAAATGTGCAATAAGGATTCTAATGAGAAAAATTGACTGATGCAACACAGTGAACCAATCTTTTTGACAACAGACTTAGCAGTTGATTTAATATAATCACTCTACTTCATGTCAATAGAAAATATAAGACCAAGAAGGCACAAGGTTAGCATCAGCCATGCTGATGGAGAGTAAAAGTGGTTCTCTATGATTAAAGTATAGAAGCTTCATTTTGGAGGCATCAAAATTTACAAGTGATTTCTTGGTCCCAGTTAACAACTGCTTTGTGGTCATTTTCCAGAGAAGCTGCCAGTAAAGTAAAAAGAACTGTGAATAGCTTTATCTGGGTCCAAACCATGACAGTTTTTGATGGCTATGTAGACAATAAAATCTATGAAGTAAGATCTTCAAAGCAGCCACCCACTAACTGAAAGAAAATAGAGAAAATAAATAATTAAATGAAAACTTTCAGGATCAAATGCCACTTGGTTGGATGTTAGGAAGTTCCAGTCACAGGCTTTATATTAGCAGAGTCACATTTCAAATGGTCAGAGTTTTAAGCCATTCTAACACTGTGTTGCAAGCCACAATTTGTGATGTTGAGATGGACAGCAAGATGGTAGGAGAGAGTCAGAGTTCTTGCTGGGCTAGCCAAAAGGAAAAGCTGCTCCATTAGTCTGTTGTGAGAGAGATAGATGAAGTTGTCCAAAGCATCACCTACTTACTCCTAGAGCATGCTAAATCAATCCATGAATAAGTAACCAAATATATTGGAAACAGGATTTGTGTTTTCATTTCACACCGTGGCATTAATTTCACCTTCAGTTCCTTTGTGAACAATGGAATATACACTTTCTTTTCCTTTTTTGAATGTGCAATGGGCCTTTGTTAGTTTTTGTTCACAACTCAAACTGAAATTGAAACACAGTGTGTGTGTGTGTGGGGGGGACTCTCCAGTTATTGAAAAACTGAGAGAGGACCCCGGTGTATGTTCATCAGTCAGTCAGTCAATTAAGTGCCATACACGATACATGCTTAACCAATCATGTCTCTTTCGATTCAGTCATGAATTGAAAGAGACATGATTGCCTTGGCAGAAGATTTTCCTGCAGTAACTTTCCATTTCTTTCTAGTGTAGACAGATTTTCAACTAAGGCTATAGGATCTAGTCAACCCATAGCTGGGGGAGAGAAGATGGATTCATACCTTTCCCTTTTTGCATATAAGTGAATGTTATGAACCTGACTGGAATTCGAACTTGGCTCTCCAGCTTCTCATTCTGAGCTGACATCCATTACACTGCAGTGCACCACCTATGTTCACCAAATGACCTTAAACTAACCCTTGCATATTTCTTAGCTTTGTTCTCTTGTTGTAAATTCTGAATATTAAAATATTCTTGCTTATGGTTGAAATGCTGTTGTCTGCACTTTGTAGGGACATTATTATTATTAATAAATAAAAATAATAATAATAATGAATATCGAAAAATAAAACAAATAACATTAAAACTTTGTTTAAAATAAATTAAATAAAACCAAAAATAAAAATAAAAGTTCTCCCAGAATGCAACAGGAACATTTCTTGCTTGAAAATGGATATCGCACCAAAAGACACTGAATTCACTCTCTCCTCAGGACATTTCTTGTTATAATACAAAGTGACTTCTTCCTTTATCACAGACAACTGTAAAACACTTGTAACTAAAATGCACACACACACTAGTACACAAAAATAAATAAATTGCATGATTTTAATTTACAATTTTTTTTAGTGTTATTTCTGTGCATGCTTTTTTACCCTATGTGAACATGAGGCTAACCCTGCTGGTATGATGTGAGTGACCCCACAACTTCTTGCTTAAAACAAAATCTTTATTTACAAGTTTTTCATGCAGCATACACTTAAGCTTTTCAGTGATCTATTTAGAATGCTCTGATTCTTGAAGTATGTTGACTTGAATTAATTATCCTTCACATAAGGCAATATGAGAATATAAATTTAGCTTAGCCATAACCAGTAAGGTAGGTTAGATTAGGTTGCCTCATTTTATGACCTTCTATGACCTGTAATGTTGACTTTTGAATGGGTCTGCCATTAAGGATCAAAGTAAGTTCTCTATAGTAATGGTCAACAAGACTAGCCTTACTAAATCACTACTCCATCCTAAAGTCCTCTACTAAATAAATTTTATCTTTTTCTATTTCAAATTTTGTTAATTTCAAAGCAAGACTGTTTATACTGAGCAATTAAAAAAAAACAAGTATTTTGCTTTTACAAAAAGATGTTTAGTGAATTGTTTATAAAAACAAAAAGAATTATTTAAACTTTATAAGGTTCTTTTTCTAACTTTAATTATAAACTGACAAGCTATATTGTGAAATATTCATTCTGATTTCTTGTCTGTATACAAAAGTGATACACAGTCTCTTGTCAGTAACATAAAAACAATATTCTCTATGGATGCCATCTACCGGTCAAAGCTCATGTTTGACAACAAACTTGACTCAACCCCTCCTTAAATTTGCTTCTGCTGTAATCTATCCAAACTTGCCAAAAATAAGAAACAAATATTTACTTCTGCCCCTCCCCACCAGGCTGTACTTCCCATTGCACTTAAAGGAAAATATGCACACACAAGACAATTGGATAAAAGGAAGTTATATAAATGCCTACAAGGGGAGAAACAGAATCTCTCACACCTTCACAAGAAGAAGATCAAATGTTTGAAGGAAGACACAAAACCACATACTCTCAGTTAGACCAATGTTAATTTTCCTGAAATCCAGAAATGAATAAACCATTATTTTATGTATGAAAAAATTAGTCTAATTAATTCAATTCAATTCAATTCAAACTTCTGGTATGAATCACATGCAACACAGAGATGCAGATTCTTCTATAGGTAACAATTGACTTAATTATCTATCCTCTATATCTTTATGATCATTGTGAAAGCTAAAAAAAATTCCAAAATGTCTCCATTCATAAAAGTTTCAGCTAAGATGTTATGACTCCATATATAATCTTAAAAATGGTTGCCTAAAAGATAATTTAATCTGAATAATTTGTAAGCTTTACCCACCTGAGTTGTTCTTTGGTTTGTTCTTCAGTGCGAGCCAAGAGAGATTGAACACCATTTATGATTTCAATCTCTTTCAATAACTCCCTCTGAACATTATCATGAACCAAGTCAATGCCATATCGACGTTCCCTGAAAAATAATATGAAAAAAACAACATTTACAGTCAATTCAAATAAAAAAAATTAAAATTCCTTGGTTTTTAACAAAGCTGTAAGCAAAAGAAGTAGTATTATCTGCAATATTATTTTTATTAACAGTTGTAGAATAACAACCTGAGAATTATGATAAAAAGCAGCTGAAATTAAAATGAAAGAAGTGATAGAAGAAAAATTGGTCATCCAAACTTGCAAAAAAAAAGAAACAAATATTTCCTTCTGCCCCCTCCTCAACAGGCTGTACTTCCCATTGAACTTATAATGCCACTCCTGGAAATTTCATCAAAGAAATTAAAAAATGTTACTACTAATATTACTACTCTTAAGTCAATACCCTTCAAAAGAGTTGACTGATATTAACTATGCAGATGACCTAGCTATCACTACAGACACCATTACCAATGCCACAGCTCTCCTACATCATCTAGAAATTGCTGTTAACTAAAACTGAATTCTTAGGCTTCAACCAGCAAGGATCAATACAAACTGTCTCAGGAGAATCAATAAAACCTGTCAAATCTTTTACATACCTCAGAAGTGAAATAAATTCTACAGAACACAGATCACCAGTGAGCAAATACAGGCGATTCCATTTTGAAGAAGTAGATCACGTGATCACAAAGGAAATGTATATATGGTAATTAGCATGGCATCTAATTGATCACTATTTCTATTCTATCCTCTATTACTATACGGATCACTCTTTCTACACTATCCTCTATCTCTATAATATTCACTATACTATTCTCTATACTGATCACTATACAAGTTACTATTCGAATGAGCATTATCAAGCAAGTACTATTAGTGTAAGTGTTATTCAAAGTCATCTGACACCAGTATTGTTCAATGGCATTACTATAGTTGTATCTGTGATTTCAAAGTCTCTACTACAACGAGCATTACAAAAGTGACAACAAGTATTCATTGACATTACAAAAGTGGCAATAAATGTTCATTGACATCACAAAAATTTTCATCTTTGTTCCAAAAATGCAACTAAATCACAGTTCTATGGACCCATTCCTGATATTTCTTTATTTTTACATGAATGCAGAATGCGTTTTGCAGGACATTGCTGGCGAGTAAAACAAGAACTTGTGTGTGATCTACTGCTCTGGACATCTAGCCATGGCACAAGACAGTCTGGTCGCCTAGGAACCACCTACATTGACCAGCTATGTTATGACACAGAATGCCAACCTTGATGCAGGACAGTGAGGGTTGGCATTATAGACTCATGAATGTCCGAGATAGCTTGATCGAATAAAAATAATTCTCTAAAAAATTAAAGGATTTATTTTTAATCTGCAATTTTTAACATTTGAAGCAATAAAATTTACTTGAGTGTATAAATAAAGGGATGTGCAGGTGGTGTAATTGTTAGCAGCTCAAAAAAGAAATCAGTAAGTTTGATTTCCAGTTCAATTCAACACATCATTCCATGACTGTTAGCTGGAAATAAGAAATAAACATGCTTTTCTTTTCTTAATGCAACAATAATTTTATTATTTAAACCACAGAGCCTTCCAACTATAAGTACAACTAAAGATACCTTTATATGAACACTCCTCTTTATCCCTTTTTCTATCCTTCCTATTTAGTTTTGCTAAGGCAATAAAAGTTTTACTGCTGAATGTACAATATTGTTTTTAATTTTATTCCTATGAAGGAAACATCCCATGCAACCACAATACCTTCCTACATCTCTCACACAACCACAATACTTTTGGGCACCTTGGCATGTTGTAATGGTTAGCAAGCTTGTCTCACTAAAACATTTACAACTGAATAGTGAGCTCAATCCTCACTGAGTGCTCCAAACTCTCAGCCAGGTGCCACATCTAAGCTACACTTAGAAAATAACCACAACCACAATACCTTTCTATATCTCTCACACAACCACAGGGTGCTCCAATAACTTGGGCTGACTTTAAATGTGAATTAAGTTTAAACGGTTAATGATTTTTTTCTTTTTCTTTCAGACTTAACAACTTAAGTCTTTGGCAATTTCAACCATGGAAAGATTAACAATCAAACAATGTGTTAAAGTTATCAAAGCCTATTACAAAAATGGGCGTTCAAATGATTCCACGAGCAAAATATTGTCGTATTTGGGCTGATGAAAATCCAAGGAAGATTGTTGAAAAGCCACTGCATCCACAAAAGGTCACTGTTTGATGTGCATTTTTTGCATCCATGCTTGTATTTGCTTAATGCTATCACCTGGTACCCAAACTTATAAACTCTCTGCAAATGTATACCATTGAAACATTCTCAAAAAAGACAAAACTACAAACCTGTTGACCAAACATTGCTTGGCTATTTCCAAGTAGTCTCGGAATGCTTCCAGGGCTTTATTCACTCGTATCTTAAATGCTTCTAAATAGTCTATTTCTTTGTGGAGGTCATCCAATTTTGTGTCAAGTTCCTTCTTCCAAAAATCCAAATCTTTTAGGCGCTGGTCTGTGAAAGTTGAGGAAAGAGTAAAGATTTTCAGATTGGTGGTTTTACTAAATATAATGAAGTCTAAGTTAATTTCCACTTTAATTCTGAAAAATTTATTTTTAAGCCAATTTAAGTAGAAATTAATTATGTATTAAATGGAAAGAAAGATATACAAAAATGAATAACAGAATCTTTTCTCTTCCACTGTAATTTACATTAATTAAAATATTTTTAATAATTTCTCCTTGAATTTTAAAATAAGAAAAAAATCCTTGAATTTGTTTTAGTTGGCATTAACAAATATAAATAATTGGTGAATTTTCTTTGTTTTTGTACAGGGTAAAGGGAAGTTGGGTTCCCATGTGCATAAATATTCTCTGTGTGTATATGTCCTTACACTTTCAACCATCATTGGCTATTTTCAAGACTATGAATTGTATGTTATAGTTTTGAAGTTCAACACTGGAAGCCAAATGCTATTATCTTTTGATTGTAGGGGTCATTAAGGATTTTGAGTAGGGTTGGGGAACCAAATAACCTGACGAGTTTGGAAACTCTTTCAAACAGAAAAAAATGGATTTTTTTTTTCAATCAGCTTAATCAATTCTAAACAAAATTTTGGAAGGATAGAAAAAATTCATCTTTTTTTCAATTAACAATTTTATTCTATTAAATAAGGCCATGGAAGTAAATCTGAACAGAAAATTCGGAGTAGAGTCCTGAAAGTTGGCTTTCAATACTGACAGACTTCTAGCAATTCTTGCAGCCAAGCTGGTCGCAAATGTAATACTCTGTATTCCTTTGGATCTTGACTGTACAGCTGAGAGGCAGAAGAGAGGGCATGCAGTCTGGGCAGTGTACAGCCTCTATATAACATTGTCCATGCCTGCTCTCTGGAGAGGTGACTCCAGTCACACTGCCAAGGTACTGAGCTTTTACCAAACAGGGTGCTATCATTATCTTATGAAATAAATGGCTGTCTGCATATTTAGGCCATTTTCTATTAAAAATGTTTTTGAGAAATTTAGCATTCAGAGTCATAAAACATAACTAAATGCATGCTTTGTTATGTTGATAATAAAATCTGCTTCTTCTTGCACAATGTTTCTGTTTATTGGAGTATGATATTAGAACAGCATGATAGTATTAGAATATGTGGTTGTTAGATCATTGGTAATAATTTCCATTTTAGTTCATGAGATTAGAAAATCAGTATTGCATACTAGTTAATTAATATAGTTCGATGCTTTCTGAATGTCTCACTATTGTGGCCCTTGTGCCAAGCTTAGCTGAGTTTAGTAAATAATCATTGGTACTCACCAAATTTTCTGTTGACATCCTTTTGTGTCTTCTTGGTTCTTTTCTCAGTTTCATCCTCCAGCCTCAGACACTCAGTAATGATTCTCTCAGCATCTTCTCTCTCTGCATTGGCATTTACAGATTTGGAAAGATTGGAGCAGGTCCACTCAGCATGAGTGAATCTTGGTGGAGGTTCAACTAGTTTAGCCATGTTGCTACTCAACTGGAGCACAAAGAAAATGTATATTTTAAATAATGATGATAAATCAATTATTAAAAAAAATATGAAGATTGTACTTTGTAAATCATCATTTTTTACATGTTATTCTTAAAATCAATCCTCTTTTCATCTCTCTATATATTGTTTCTTGTCTACTCATATCTATTTATCAGTCTTTCTCTATATATCTATCTAGCAAGCTAAGTAACTATCACATTCTATTTCTGCTAGCTAGCTATGTATCCAGTCTGCTTCCATCTATCTATCTAGCAAGCCAGTTGTGTATCTGTTTATTTCAATTGGTTTCTATCTATCTATCTTATTAGCTAGCCATGTATCAACCTCACTCTCTTCTTATATATCAGTCCGTTCATATGTCTCAACATATTTATCTCTTCATAACAGTCTATTTATCTATTCAAGCATTTTCATTTAACTATTGAAGTCTGTTCATATTTATCTTCTTTTTCAACCCCCCCCCAGCAAAGGGATAATGCCACTAAGACATAAAGGGCTACTGGGAGTGAAAGTGGATGAAAAACTTTAGAATTAACCAGAAACCCAATCTTCAACAGAAAACAAGGAATAAACTTCTACTCCTGTTCAAAAGAGTGGGGGGGGTGAGCAGGATGATAGGCAAACTTATTTCCTCCTATTGAGAGAAAATAAATAGTAAATAAAATTTCAGAGTTTAGGCAGAGATGTTAGAAGTATCAAATTGAAGTAGACTTTAGAAGAAACTGGAAACCCAATCTTAAACAGGAATTAAGGAATAAACCTCTACTATTGTTCAAAAGATTGGGGAGGAGTGTGAACCGGATGATAGATAAACCTATTTACTCTTATTGAGAGAAAATAAATAAATAAATAGTAAATAAAATTTTAGGGTTTAGGTGGAGATGTTTGACGCATAGAGTTAGGTAGGCTTTAGAAGGAACCAGAAATCCAATCTTCAACAGGAAACATGGAATAACCTCTACTAACGTTCAAAAGATTGGGGAGGAGTGTGAATTATTTATTGAATGTATTTTGAAAGATCATCTCCAAATAGGTAAAGTGATCTCATTTCTTACATAATAAATAACACATTGTCAACAAATGATGATATGGGTTGGATAAGTTCCATGGCTCAATCTGATTCTAAAATAGTTACTTTGCTCATAGGAGGATTAGATTTTGAAAATTCCAAAAGAAATGGTTTGAAATCAGTTTTTTTTTTATCCATAAATGTGTCATAATAATTTGAGGTAAGGTTTTACAAGGCCGGATACACTTCCTGATGCCCAACTCAAACACTCACAGTAATTCAAGTACACTGAGTGTTTTTATTGAGACACCATCTCTAGGATGAGTTCAATTCAAGGCTTGAGACCCCATCTTAGCCTTACAAGGTCTGATCAAAAAATATCAGAACTGTTGCTATGGTAACAGAGCTAAAGTACACAGAGTAAAACTGCATGGCACAGACTGACCTTGAACACTGTCGCGCATACTAAGTTATAATGTTTTGGTTCACTTCTGTTGTTTATAGCAGTGCTTTGAAGAAACATGCATAGAGTGTGGTCATTTCCTTATATCACAGAGGTTCCATCAGTGACCATGGCTTGTGTAGAAGTTTTTGGCCAAGCACAATATTTTCCAAGTTTGACAATCACCATATTCCCCCAGATCTTTCCCCTTGTGACTTATTTCTCTTCAAAAATCAAATCCCACTTGAAAGGAAAAAAATTTCAAGATGTCAAGGAAATCCAAGAGAATGTAATAAGGCAGATATTCACTATCCCCAAAAAAGGAGTTCCAGAAATGCTTCCATTAATAAAAATGATGCTGGATAAGGTGTGTAGTTTCAGAAGGGAAGTACTTCAAAGAAGATTAAACACTGAATTGATATGTATTGTAGTTCTCTGTTTATAGCACTAGCCCCAATACTTTTCGATCAGACCTCATATATAATATTTTTTTAATCGTTTTTACCACTAAGAGGTAAGGGGTTATTGAGTGTTACAGAATATGAGAAAAATATTCTCTATTAAAGAGAGAGGACAATAAAAGAACAAGAATTAAGAAGACAATTATTGACATTACATTTAAATTTTTGAAGATGAAAGTTGACCAGAAAGCAATAAGCCAGAAGAGAGTTCCACAAACCAGAAGTGTGATAGAAGAAACTGTTAGCATAAAACTTATGGTTGCATCTAACCACTTCAACTGCAAAATGATGAAACCTTGCCACCAATCTAGTATTCTTCTTTTATATGCCATGTCTCTTCAGGATGTGGCAATCATAGTTCCCCATTTCCCCTATCCCTTGTAGTTCTCAATATATTTTGTTCTTTTGCTACTTCTCCTCGACCCTGTTCTGTCATCCACTTGCTTAAGCCCACTAGGTATGTCGCACATTGTTTTCCCTTGTCTCTCTTTCTGCCCTGTGAGTAGCAGATTCTCCAAGCCCTCTTTTCTCAATATGTGTCCCAGAAATTTCAGCTGCCTCTTCCTAATGTTAAGTATAAGCTTCCTCCTTCCTCTCCAAAACCTCATTGTTGCTCACATGTTCGGTCCATAGTATCCTTAGCATCCTTCTGTAGAACCATACCTCCACTGCCTTGAGTCTCTTCTTCATCTTTGAGGTGTCTGTTCAACATTCACTGTCATAAGGGAGGACAGATATCACATAACAATTTGGTACTCTTTACTTTGTTGCCAACAAAATCTTCCTGTCTCTTAATACTCTGCTTAGCTTTTGGAATGCATCTTTAGCCATCCCAATATGTCTTTGGATCTCAGCATCACAACCGCACTTAAATTCATAAAGTCTAGGTACCATAGAGGAAAGTTTATTAGAACAATTACTATGAAGGCATTTATAGAAAAGGCACAGAGAAGCTACATTATGTTGGTGGGAAAGTGACTGAAGCCAAGATGCCAGGTCAGAACCAATGACATTGCAGCAGATTCTTCTTTGGATGTTATCAAGAATCTGCAATGTTTTATATATATGTTGGCCATTGACTTCTATAAGAAGCTAATCTGTTCTTTGGTGGGTTTTGTTCTTTGTCACTCTCTTGACCAGTAAAAAAGCTAATGAAGGAGTTGGTTTAGATGCCAACTATCCATTCATGCAGCAAGTCATACTGGGTTACATATTACCAGGTGCAGCAGCTATAATTAAAACGCACAAGTGATAACAGAGAAAACACCTGGAAATAGCAATAAAAAAGGGAAAACACAAAGTCAACAATCCAACTGGTGAAAATGAGAAGAACTATGATCATAAATACTAAATTAAAAATGCAGAATTAAACTAATCAGCAAAAAACAAGGAAACAGGAAAAATGGAAGATGTACTTGGAAAGAGTACAAGAAGCTATCAAGAAAAAAAGAGCTTGAAACAACTGCAACAGATATAGAGTAATTGCTATAATTGAAAGACAGAAATGAGAAAGTCACTAAATTCAGAAACAAAATGTTAAGGAAAACTAATGAGCACTATGCAAACATACATGTTTCAAAAATAAAAATACAAGTAAATGTTAAAAAGTTCCTGGTCTGACCTACTTTCTAAAATCTGACCAAATGACCAAACATTACATTTTTTAAGGAGGAAGGACTTCTTGGCTAAGACAATAGCTTTTCATCATACAGTTGTATCATTAACAGTTACTTCAGTAGATACTAGTGATGATATTGAAGTAATAATAGATGGTTTGTGGTTCAGAATGCAAAACATGGAAAAGCACCAGACAAAGATGGCATAGTAACAGACCTTTTAAAAGATATGCAAGAAGAATTCCACATCTGATTAACATGGCTATTTACATATATAGCAAAGAAACGTATGTCAGTCTAGGAATAGTAGAGAAGACTCCTGCCTGATTCCCGCTTCAAATGTAAGTGTTGCAAAGGTAAGGCACAACCAATTGATGCAAACGAGGTGCTTGTTGGTTGAGTGGCCTTAAAAGTGGTTGTCTCCTTTTGCTACCTGGGTGACACTTTGTACTTGGATGGCAGATGTGAGCTGGCCACATGTTTCCAGGTCACATGGAAGAAATTTCATTAGTTGCTGTCTATCCTCACTATCCTCTGCTTCCCAGTAAAGATCAGAGGTTGTGTGTATAACACCTGCTTTCACAGCACCATGCCATGTAAGACATGGGTCCTGAGAACAGTGGACTTCAAATGCCTGTGGTAGAATGACAGGGCTATGATACACTAGATGTGTGGAGTGTCCACTGAGTACGAGGTCAGGTCAGACTCACTTCCCAAAATGCTAAGCCATGGTGACCTAGGACTATCAAATGGGTCTGTGAGGTGATGTTCCAAGACAGCAAAGGAAGAGGACAGCCAAAGATGACTTGGAGGAGGTTTTTCAGAAGGACGGGGGAAAATTGAGCCTAGAACTAGCTGATGCTAGTGACAAGCATATGTGGAAAGGTAAACTGAGATCCTCTGTCAGGTAGGATGTACCTTTCTTTATGTGAGATTAATCCTGTACCCGCTTCAACAAAAAACATGGCAATGAAAAGTAGTTACAAACCAGCTAACAAACACACAAGATGAAAATCAGCCATGTGAAAATCAACCGAGTGGATCAAATGAGGACAGGTAATGGTTAAAGAAAGGTCACGTGACACTGGCTATATAAGCGCCAAATTGAAAACAAAATATCATCTTTTCTTCTACAACATTATTCAGCCAGCAGCAAGTAAGGTTTACCACTTGTTCTGGACAGTGGCATCAGGTTATGGGAGAACTGAGTCGGCGAACTTAAAATAAATTATTGCTTTCTCCAAAAGCTAGCTCTAGCAGTAATTTCCGTTCACTTTGACAACAATAAATCTCTTCTTCTTTTGTACTTTATCTCTCATGTTCTTGCCACTCGTTCACGGCAGAAAAACCCACACTCAACTCCGCGACGATTTCACACAATGCCGCCTTACGCAATTTTTCATGTTATTCTATTTATCACCCCTTCGAAATTTCTATGATACCAGCAAAATCTCGCT